AGAAAACTTGACAAGCAACTCCAAAAGATATCTGATCAATCAGGCTGAGACTCGTATGTCATGCTGCGAGCAGCCGCATTCATCAGCCTGGTTGACCAGTCCAGCAACGAGGAAGCCTGGTCGACGACCGGGCCGCAGGGACGCTAAGCTCCGAAATCATCTCAAGGTAACCATCTGGTGGCTGAATTGATCGTGTCCCACATGCAGGCTTCCTCGAGGCAGCAGTATGAGGTTTCTTGGTGCTCTTTTCACCATATTTTTTTTTATGGTGTTTCTTCTTGATTTTAGGGCACGTGAGTGCTCGCCTTTCTTTCCTGGCTCTTTCTTAATCGGCATCTTATGCTAAATGCTGTTGCATCATATTATGCAGCACTGCTACTTGCATTTGGTGTCGATACTTTCTCGACCCTGTTTTGCAGGCTGTCTTGTGCCTTGTTTCACCTCCGGCCTGCTGATGCACCACCTGAGCCCACTTGGTCTTTGGGCCATGTTCTTTTGTTTCTTCTCCTTGGTTTACGGTGTCCCCTTTGGTCTTTGATTGCTTCTACATGACTTCTTTTCTGGGGGAAGCCCCTACGGCTCCCCGGAGCTATCCATGGCTGACATGGATACCCTAATTATTTTGTGTCAGTCGATGTGGGTGGAGTTCTAGCATACCGGGGACCACAAGCCAGAACCTGGCCCCCTCACAGAGGCACGGGGAGCAATGGCCCATACAAATGCACATGTGATTTGGAGCATTCTATATCTGCCATCGACCGGGACAGGCACCGAGAAAGGTAAGCGCCACAAAACAAACCCTGATTCTGGTTAACAACGAAAATAGACAAACGAATGGACAGAACTCCCCAAAAGAAAAACGAGCAAAGAAGCATGACGTCACACGAACTGCACCGCATGTCTGCGCAGCTCCTCCCTTTCCCTGGGAGGGGGAACGGGGAGCCCCAGACCCCCGAGCCGGCAATCTTCGCCCTAGTTCCTCGGCTGATGGGATCGTGCATGGTGATATGGCTCCAGCTCCAGTCTTGTCTCAGTGCTGTGACTTGTTTTCAGTGCTGCTCTTACGGTGGTCGTGTGAGCTGGGAGTAGTTTTCTCAGGCACTCGGGCTGCATATGCTTAGGGTCAGCTTCCCTGAGTGCCCTGTAAGTACCACCCTTGGGGCTTGGGGTTGCCTTCCACAAGTGACCTTGGGTCTACCTCTGTTGGCTTTTCGCTGCTTGGCGTTTGGCCGCCCCGAGTGTTTAGGGGTTTTCCTCCCTTATTTACCTTGGGGTTAGTGGTAGTTATAGCACTGGTGGGGCGCAGGGTACTAGGTAGCTGTTTTCACCTATAATAGCGGCTGGCTCTGTTCCCACTGGGTACGTTGTCCACTTGCATGGTTTTTCTTTTCTTTTTGCCTGGTGGGGGGGGGGCTGCCTTGTGTTTTTCCCTTCCCCTTATATTAGGGTTGTTTGTGCGGTGGCACCCCCTGCTTAGCCCTCGCAAGTGGACACGTCCCGTGGGTTCAGCTTTTAGCAGTTTGCTTGGTAGTTTGGGGTGCCGGTTAGTAGTGCCCTGCCTGGGACAACCCTTAGCAGACCCAGTCTAGGGGCCCTGGGAAACCCCGCGGGGGTCTCGGGTCCGATGGAGGAGACCCTCGCGTCCCCTCTCGCTGTGTGCGAGTTTGAGGGTTGCTCTGTTCCCTTGTCTCAGGGTGACTCATTGTTTTTGCCTCCGTCATGCTGCCTGTTGGGTCGGTGACACATTCGACCCTGAGTCCTGCGAGCTGTGTTGTTTGATTCAATTCACCCAGTCTGCTGATGAATTACTTCAGGTGCAGGCAGCTTGTGCGTTGCAAGGTAGGTTTAGGTTGTTGCAAGGTAGGTTTAGGTTGTTGCAACGCGCTCGGGTTGTCACTTTCCCGGACGCCCCGAGGCTGCCCCGGTTTGTGTATAAAGACCTGGACTTAGGGGTGTTGGTCGCTTCAGCCTTGGTTCCGTCTGCTCCCCCTTGTTCTTCCCCTTCAGTGGTCCATTCTGCCCCCCCCCCCTCAGCATCTGAGGGCTTCAGAGTCGGGGTGGGGTTTAGAGGTTCTTTTTGACCCTTCGTCGTTGTTCCTCGCTTTCGGTTCGGGTGTTGTCCTTTCTCTCTTGGTTGTATCAGGACCGTCATCTGATGCCTAATACTGTCGCCTCATATCGTACGGCGCTGGCAGAGTCACTGCAGCTTGCTTTCGGTATTGATGTTACTTCTGCGCCATTTCGCAAGCTGTCTCAGGCGTTGTTTCACCTCCGGCCTGTTCATGTGCCGCCTGAGCTGTCTTGGTCTTTGGACAGAGTGCTCCTCTATCTTTCTTCTCCTCGGTTTGTTGTGGCCCCTTCGGTTCCAGATTGTGTTGCTAAGGCTCTTTTTTTTTTTTTTTTGGCATTGGCCTCTGGGGGTCGCGTGGCGGAGCTTCATGCTCTTCTCCGGCACAGAGGTTTTTGCTCCTTTGGCCATGGTCTTCGGTATGTTCATCTGCAGCCGTCTCCCTCTTTTCTGGTGAAGAATGAGACGGCTGCTTTCCGGAGGGGTCCTTGGGTTGTTGATGCGTGGTTTGTCAGGCCGGGGGTTCACCATGTGTTGTGTTCGGTTGTGGCCCTCCGCCGTTATCTGCGCGCCACGGCTTCTGTGTCTGGGGACGCGCTATGGGTTGATCCGGTTTCCCTTCTTCCCTGTTCGTGGGTTCGGGTCTCTCAGGTCGTCCGCAGGGTTATTAAATCCAGCCAGCCTGCGGTCTATCCCCGTGTCCATGACGTTCGTAAGTTTGCTGCTCTTGCTGCCATCTTCGGCAATATTTTGGCAGTCAAACAGAGTCCTGGCTGCACGCTACCTTGTGAACGTTTTTGGGCCCAGTCGGGCCTGTATTGCTTTAGGTTGGCGGATGCAGCCCGTTGTCTCGACTTCGTGTTGAGGAGTGGAGCGCCGACCGCCTCCGGGTAAGTTCACATGGTTTTCTTTGGTAGTCTTTGGTGAAGTAGCTCCGGGGAGCTGTAGGGGCTTCCCCCAGAAAACCAGCCTTGAATGTACAGTAATGAAACACCATTTTCTGGGTGAGTCCCGGAGGCTCCCCGGCAACCCTCCCGCCCTTCGGTCGGCGGTTTTTTCGCGGTTTTTTATATCCAGCCTCTGAACAGGGGCGAGGATCGCCGGCTCGGGGGTCTGGGGCTCCCCTTTCCCCCTCCCGGGGAGGGGAGAGCTGCGCAGACATGCGGCGCGGCTCATGTGACGTCATGCTTGTTTGCTCGTTTTTCTTTTGGGGAGTTCTGTCCACTCGTTTGTCTATTTTCATTGTTAACCAGGATAGGGGTTTGTTTTGTGGGGTTTACCTTTCTCGGTGCCTGTCCCGGTCGATGGCAGATATAGAATGCTCCAAATCACATGTGCATTTCTATGGGCCATTGCTCCACGTGCCTCTGTGAGGGGCCAGGTTTTGGCTCGTGGTCCCCGGTAGGCTAGAACTCCACCCACATCAACTGATGCAAAATAGGGCATGCATATCAGCCATGGATATCTCCGGGGAGCCTCCATGACTCGCCAAGAAAATGGCATTTCATTACATTAAACGCTGGTTTTTTGTTTCCCTCGCCTCCGGTTGTAGGGTTGGAGAGTTTCATGCTCTTCTCCAGTGGTGGGGTTTTTGTTCTTTTCACTCTACTGGCTGGTTTGTTCGTCTGCAGTCAGCTCCTCATTTTCTGGTGAAGAATGAGTTGTTTAACTTCGGAGGGGTCCCATGGTAATTAGCTTGATTGGTTCAGCCGGGGGTGCATCATTTGTTGCGTCCAGTGGCACTGCACTCTTCCACTACCTTCGAGCCACTGATTATGCCTCGGTGGATGCTATGTGGGTTGACCCGTTCACCTTGGTCCCCTGTTCCAAGGCTCATATTTCTCACATCGTCTTCAGTGTTATTAAATCCAACCAGCCTGCTGTCTCCCCTAGTGTGCCCAAAATGTTCGGAAATATGCTGCTCTCTTGACTGTGTTCACTAACATGTCCTGGGCTGATATTCGGGCACAGGGATTTTGAAGGTCAAACTGGTGGAGGGTTCTGATGGCCCAGTATCTTGTCACTGTGCCTGGACTTCGGCGCCATTGTGTGACTTTGGGTTGTGTCTCGCGGCCTGGTGTCTCTTTCTCGTCTTGATTCTGCACTGCTTCCTCCTCCCTGGTAAGTGCTCTGGGTTTTATTCTCTGGATATATAGCTTCAGGAAGCCTCAAGAGCCTCCACCCAGAAAACCAGCACCAAATGTAATGAAACACCAATTTCTGAGTGAGCCCTGGTGGATTGCTGACCTACAGATCATTGGGGAGTTTTCTCACATCTTCCATAGAACTGAGGGCTATGTCACCAGCTGACTGCGAGTTACCCCCACCCTCCTCCCCAAACAAGTATGGGTAAATGGGCTGGCGCTTGTCTTGAAACTTTTCTATCATTTGTTTACAGTGTTGGGGGAGTTCTTCTGGCAGTTCAGGAGGCTACAGTCTCTTGTTTAGCCATCTGTGGTTTGTTTTGTCTCATTGACTTTCTGGGTGCCTTCCCCAATGGTAGCATAAATAAATAGATAAATGTACTGCTCCCTGTGCTTCTGTGAGAGGGGGCTGCATTCTGGCTCTTGGTCCCTGGTAGGCCAGATAGAACTCCGTGGCTGATGCGATAGTACACTATCAATGATAGTAACTTCAGAGAGCCACCGGGGCTCAACCAGAAATCGCAGTTTCATTACATTCAGCGCTGGTTAACTGAAAACCTTTTTCATGTCAAGAAAGTGCTATATAAGCATTTGTTACATTAGAATTCACTGTCATGTAATACTTGGTTGCATTTGGTAACATGAACAGAACACTACCTAACACTGTATTCCTAAAAGTTAAGGCTTTCAAATTCGTATTACTAATATAAACACTTATATTTATTTATTCAACAAGCTTATAATATTCTTAACAAATTAGGCCTGAATTCCTGTATGAACACACTTACAGATTTTGAAATATCATCTGTTGTGGTGCCCACTTCTCTGGGCTGAGCATCTTCAAGGCAACTGGAAAGCGTACTTGCAAGCGTGGCGTTGACATTATTTTCTCGCCACCCCCTTTAAGAGGGAGTATTTGTTTTTTCATTCGGAGGTGTTCCAAATAAGCCCTTTCTTGTATTCCCCTCATCTAAAGAAAAACTTGTATTAGTGACATACAAAATATTTTTTACATGTACTTAACATTTACCAAACAGTATACAATATATGTATATACAGTATTCACTTGTGTGCCATACTAAATGAAACTATGAATAATAAAATGTCAGCTTTAAACTTTCCATATTATATCTTTTGCCATTGGCCAAGTAGTACAGAGGACTATGAAAGGAAATTTTTTTGAACAATTCAAGGACACACTAAACTGACATAAAATTAAAGATTACCCCACTACGAAACGGAAAATGAAGACATGTGATAAAAAGACTAGAAAGCAGGTAGGAGAGATACATAATAATCTACACATAGAGAAAATATTAGAGGGTCTGGTTCCAAATTTGCACATGGAAATAACACCACACGAGACTGGAAGGCATGGCTGAAAGTGCCAAACAGCCCTCGCTGAAAAGCAGAGGTGCAATTGGTATGCTGAGAAAGACTTTTGTCAATATCAGTAGAGCCCAAGACTTTTCAACACTCCACCTCTAAACCTAAGGGGAATATCTAGCTGACCTGTTATGGTCAGAGAACGACCTGTTCAAAAGAGAACTTGAATACTTCCAAAGGATACTTGGTTAACTGGTTATGATTTATATGTCAGGCTGTGAGTAGTCTAACAGTCTGGTTGACCAGACCAACTAGGAGGCCCAGTCAGAGAATGGGCTGCAGGGACATTGATCTTGGAACCGAAGCAAGGTAAGATGGAACATTAAGTATGCATATTGGATGGAGGGTATGCCAGTAAGCAAGACATTATTGTTTACAAAGGAAACGAGGCATTATTTTAGACATAGGCTGATAACTTCCCATTCTCGTCCACATCAGAGCAAGTGTGAAAAATACAGCACCCTAGAGCGCCTCCAATGGGTCTGGGAATATAATAGTAACCACTCAACATCCACCTCTTTCATCATCCTAAACTGGCCAGGTGGATGGTGCAGAGAATATGTGTAAACTGCAAGATATGGGCTTCATGAAAGGAGACCTAGAGATCTGCTCAGTGAAAGGCCTGACCTGGACATACTGTACTTCCTCTACAGAGTATGATCTTAGTCTACACCAAAGGGCAGACAACCATAGTCCCTAGGATCACAGTGTAATGAGTGCATAATAGTTGACCATTATGCCCGAAACGCTTTGCATAATAGTGGCTTTAGGCATTGTATGTACTAGCCCTATCTATAAATCCATCACTCTTTGTAAAATCTCTTGTATGTATGTACCTTACCTAAATAAACATTTGATTTGATAAACATCTGATAAAAATGACGCCCATTACCAAGCCAGCTGGCAACTAGCTACCAAAGTTAGGGGTATCATTAATGGGGTGCCACTTCCCCTAGGGTTTTCACCAGAGAGTGGATGACCTGGCCGAAGCCTAGAAGTTGGGGTGCTATCTTGAGGGCCAACATGAGCATATTCTCATGCTCCGGAGCCTTGTGGGAAGTGCCCACTTTGAATTTATTTTCTATGTATGCTGACTTCAATTTCATCACACCTGTCACTTAAGACAGTTTGTTGCATTTGCCTTCATCCAGTAGTTCATTTTAGTTGCTTACTGTGCATTCCTTCTTAGTGCCTTTACCTTGCGGTTACCTTGTGATGATTTTGGGGCTTAAAGTCCCCCATGGCCCAGTCCTCGATCAGGCCTCCTCGTTGACAGGCTGTTGGATGTGGCTGCTCACAGCCTGACGTATGAGTCACAGCCTGGTTGATCAGGTATCTTTTGGAGGTGTTTATCAAGTTCTCTCACTGAAAGAACCGAAGACTGAGAGGGGTCGGCCAGTTATGGCCCTTAGGTGTAGTGGAAGCGTGTTGAACAGTCTTGGGCGTCTAATGTTGATAGTTCTCTCTCTCAGAGTACATATTGCACCTCTGCTTTTCAGCGGAGGGTATTCTGCACATCCTGCCATGCCTTCTGGTCTCATGTGGTATTATTTCTGTGTGCAGGTTTGGGACCAGGTTTTCTAATATTTTCCACATGTAAATTCTTATGCATACCATGCAGGAGAGATACATATGTTCTATAATAAAAACAAATAGAAAATATTTCTATTACTAACCCATTATTATCATTCTAACTTTTGTAAGATGAACATCTAGCTATATTATACATTTTACTTTGTATTGTTACAAATACTAAGTGGGGGGGGGGGCCTCACTACCCTCCCATGTCATATGGTTGGGAGGGGAAATGGAAGGCCCTGCAGCGAGGTAAAAACCCCTTAACCCCCCTAAAGTGGCAAGGGGGGAAGAAAGGGACAAAATAGTAAAGGATTACGTGAAATACTATACTGAGAAGACAGTACACTGTACTACTGTTTTCAGTGAACCCCTAAACACAATGAGACTGACAGCCTAAAGTGAACATGACACCAACTTAGACTCGCACCCGAAGTGTTACCTTAACCCCACTGAACTTTGAGGTAGCCATAAACAGTATGGCCATGCTGGTCTGATCAGGTCTTTCTATGGGCTACAGAAAATAATATGGTATTCAACGAGGATAAGTTTCAGCTCATGCGCTACGGAAAAATTGAAAACATAAAAACAGGAACCACGTACAAAACGCAGGCAAATCATAACATAGAACGAAAAGGCAATGTAAAGGACCTGGGTGTACTCATGTCGGAAGACCTTACCTTTAAAGAACACAATAAAGTAGCCGTCACAACTGCAAGAAAAATGACAGGTTGGATAACAAGAACTTTTCACACTAGAGATGCTATACCGATGATGATACTTTTCAAAACGCTTGTGCTATCTAGAGTGGAGTACTGCTGCACAATGACAGCCCCTTTCAAAGCTGGAGAAATTGCTGACCTAGAGAGCGTGCAGAGATCCTTTACTGCTAGAATCCACTCAGTAAAACATCTAAATTACTGGGACCGACTAAAGAGCCTAAATCTGTACTCCCTTGAGCGCAGGCGGGAGAGATATATAATAATTTACACGTGGAAAATAATTGAGGGGCTGGTCCCAAACCTGCACACAGAAATAACACCACATGAGACCAGAAGACATGGCAGGATGTGCAGAATACCCCCGTTGAAAAGCAGAGGTGCAACAGGTACTCTGAGAGAGAACTTTATCAACATCAGAGGCCCGAGACTGTTCAACACGCTTCCACTACACATAAGGGGCATAACTGGCAAACCCCTCACAGTGTTCAAGAGAGAACTGGATAAGCACCTCCAAAGGATACCTGATCAACCAGGCTGTGACTCATACGTCAGGCTGCGAGCAGCCGCGTCTAACCGCCTGGTTGATCAGTCCAGCAACCAGGAGGCCTGGTCGACGACCGGGCCGCGGGGACACTAAGCCCCGGAAGCACCTCAAGGTAGCCTCAAGGTATGCTCCAGGCACAAATGTCTGAATTCGATATTTATTCATTTATTTATTATTTATTTATATACAAGAAAGTACATTGGGTTTATGAGGGTAAAGAACATTGAAACTTTACATTCTTGTAAGGCTACTAGCACGCATAGCATTTCGGGCAGAATCTTTATCTAACATATAATTTTAATTAAGAAGGTAATTTCTAGCAAAATTAAAAAATGTTTACAGGTACATTGTAAGAAAGTATAAAAATACATTGTAAGAAAGTATAAAAAAAATACATGGTATAAGAAGTTTGACAGGATTAGTAGGTATATTAAAGTAAATTTAACAGGTTATCCACAGGTACATTGTAGCATAATTTGAGGATTATTGCAAGGTAATGTTTATGGTTAATGTTTATAACCATGATTATAACATGATATAAGATAACAGCAATGATTACAATGGTAAAGTTGTATGTCATAGGTACATATATTGGGGAATTGTGTACACTAGATACAGGGCGAGTTTCAAGCACTAGGTAGGAAACTATGAAGATGAAATTAGGTAATTTTAGGTTTTATTTTTGAATAAGGCAAAAGTTTGACAGCTTTTCAATTCATTAGGGAGTGAGTTCCATAGACCAGGTCCCTTTATTTGCAGTGTATGTATACAGATTAAGTTTGACTCTGGGGGATATCAAAGAAATATTTTCTTTTGGTGTGGTGATTGTGTGTTCTATTACATCTGTCCAAGAAAAGTTTCTGAACAGGGTTTGCACTTAAGAACAGGGTTTTACAAATGTGATTGGCACAAGAGAATGTGTGGGGTGAGTTTAAGTTTAGCATGTTTAGGGATTTAAACAGGGGGACTGAGTGTTGTCTGAAAGCGAGCTTGTTATTGTTCTGATAGCAGATTTTTGCTGCTAGAGGCTAGCAGCAAAAATTGATTCTTGATGGGCTTGAGGTAGTTTGCAGAGGTTGAGCCCCATGCACAGATACTGTATGTAAGATAGGGATAGATTAGCGCATAGTATAGTGAGAGGAAAGCAGAGTTTGGAACATAATACCTGATTTTAGAGAGTATACCAACTGTTTTTGATACTTTCTTTGCTGTATGTGAGTGATGAAGTTGAGTCTCTTGTCTATGTATAGGCCAAGGAACTTTCCATCATTTTTAATGCTGATGTTAACATTGTCTATCTGAAGCTGAACTACATTTGTTGATTTGCTTCCAAATAAGATGAAGTAGGTCTTTTCTATGCTTAGTGTGAGTTTGTTGGTTGACATCTATAAGTGAACTTTATTCAGTTCATTGTTTACAACATTATTTAATGTGTGGATTGGGGTCTGAGTAGCCGAGAGTAGTATCGTCAGCAAATAATATAGGTGTGTGTGTACTCACCTAATTGAGCTTGCGGGGGTTGAGCTCTGGCTCTTGAAACTGTGTATGGAGTCAGCCTCCACCACATCACTACCTAATGCATTCCATCTGTCAACTACTCTGACACTGAAAAAGTTCTTTCTAACATCCCTGTGGCTCATTTGGGTACTCAGTTTCCACCTGTGTCCCCTTGTTCGCGTACCACCTATGTTAAACAGTTTATCTACCCTGTCAATTCCTCTGAGAATTTTGTAGGTAGTGATC